CCCAACACCCTGCAGACTCATGTTTTATTCCGAGCAAGTGAGATGTATTTTTGTTGCCAGAGCACAAGTTACTGTGACATAAAATTCAATGGCTTGTCTACTCCTTAATATGATACACCCCACAGTACACTAAATTGGTTGCAAGGTCACAAAATGATACAGTACAAGTGGCAGAGTACACACAGTGCACCAGTTAACGACATCAGCAAGCTGAAGTATGATAATAAGCTCATTAAACTAAATCGAAATAATTCTGATGCTACAGTAGCTCCACAGCAGTGGTTTATTTGCTTCATATTTTCTGTGGCTACACTTCTGTACAGCTCCTACATCCTGTGTCTGGGGCCAAAAACCGCATGGTTAGAAATCACTGGTTTAAAACTCCTCCTCAACTGAGCCATTAAATTCTACACAGACACGCTGAAAAAATTAAAACACCCATTCTCTCTGAGGAAATAGTTATCCTACAACATCCTGAATACCCTTTGGATGGGAGTCACATGGTGAGAGATGCTTTAGACATTTTCTTTCCTTTACATCTAAAGGGAAAAAAAACACATTCAATAGTAATTTTGAAAGTTCCTTACCTCGCCAAACAACAATTCAGCCTAAAGCTCTTCAGTAATATACAGCTGCTGGAACCCTCCAAACTCCAAAATAACATATTAATTGAACAATTTTTAAAATACATTGTTATTTATCTAATAAGTGTTTGTGCACTTGTGTGTATGTGGGTTAGAATGATAGAAAACCATGAGAGAGAAAACCTTGTGAGTGTCCAGCTGTCATTGTTGAATTAACCAGTTACAGTAAATTCTGTTTGGTTTTGATGCTGATAATTCAGCTATTCCATTTTTCTTGTTCAGTTTGAAATGTACCTTTAAGATGAACTTTTTAATTTTTTTTTAACGTAATGTTGTTGTTTTACAAAAAATTGATTTCAAGACAAGACAAAAAGCCCTATGACACTAGCCTCATAGTCTGACTGACCACAATCTGTTGAGTGAAACACCTGCTGGGGCTCCCACCCAAAGATGACTTTTAAATGATAGTGACAGAAGCATTTGCATGCATTTCATTGCATGTAATGTGACATACCCACATAATTGTGTTCTTGACTGCTACTATTTTATTGGAATGTACAGGGTAATATGGGTTGGTATTCCCTGCTACTGAATGCTCCACCTGCTCCAACCTTTTGTTGTACTGTCCCAAAATACAAATGTCTATGCCAAGTAATCCTAGTTTGCAGACTTCAAACAGGCCAGATGAAGAAAACAAAAAAAAAACAGAAACAACAACAGACAATGCCCTGACCCCACCTGATACAAATAGTGTCCAAAGGTCCCAGGCCTGATGAAAAATACAAGGCCAGTAGAATTTAGCATTAACACACCAAGGAGAAGATATCTTAATAACTCACGCTTTTTGTTCATACAGAACAATACAAACATTTTAGATGAAACATATAAAAGACCAGCCCCAATCCGCCTTCCTCTGACATTCTCTTGTTTTTCTGTTGACACAGCAGCTCAGTGGTGCATTGATCTGGGAAACAGCGTGGCCACAAAAGGAAGTCATCTCTATGTCCAGATGGCAGCTATGGCGTCATCTGGTGACATCACGCCACCAGAGTCAAGACCCAAGGAGAATACGAGGTCCCGCAGAGCCCAAAAAGACGTAGAACTACAATCTGTAGAGAGGGTAGTTGCTTGAGTATCATTGTACTATAGACTTTAGATCAAAATATAAAATCTTGTTGGCATACTTAATACTTTCCATTATAACAAAGTTCTTCTTAATGTTGCCACCAAAATGATCGAAGTTGGTATTCTAATTCTGGGGCAAAGAAGCTGCAATCACATATGATGGTCATTGGTCATTGACCATTGGTCATTCTCCAGGGAATAGCTTGCTTCACACCTACAGTGCACCTGGGAAACATAATATCTGCAAGCTTGTTAACGGTTTCAAGTGGTCTGACCCCCTTATATCCAATGTATACTGGGTCAAAACCGTGGCTGACTTTGTCAGTCTCTCCAATAATGTTTGTCTACTATGACTTTTTAGCATTAAATTTAACATATGTCTGATGTTATATCCAGCATCTCATTGTGTGTTCTCAAACACTTATGCAAAGCACAGTGTGTGTTGGTTTTTGAAGTAAATGTGTTTCTATAAAAAACAATAATGAGATCACAAGGTAAAGAAATGAGCTTTCAATATGGTACTTTTTTGAACAATGCATCAAAAAAAGTTTAAGAAGACCAACAATAGAGGAGTGGATATTTATTAAACAAAGATTGACTGTTAGACCTGCTGGACAAGTGCTGATACTATCTATCTTCAGCTGTTAATTTTATGTTGACTGTCAGTGTTTTTAAGAGTCTAAACAGGAAGTCGGGACCCAGAGATGATTTGTGTAAGTACAACATATCCTAAAATTATTCTGGAGCATAAACTTTTCTGTAAAAGATCAGAGAGGCGAGTTACTGTGCATTCAATATACAGGAAATCTGGAGTAAATTCTGGATTAGCAAATTATGGCTTGACATTAGCATACTATATCACAGTATTAAAACTTTGAAAACTGCTACTATACTGAAAAAAGTGGAGCAGTATGTATAATAGCTGTATAAAGAATGATTAAGATTTCTGTAGTTTGCTATAGCATATATTCCACAATCAAACAAAAAAAATGGACTTCCTAATCAAACTCACTTGCTCCTCCCTCCGTCTCTCATAAAACTCATTCACCCACACATTTTCTCTCTGTGCACAGAGCTCTACAAACCACTGCTCATGACAAGCAAATGCTGTCTGCGCTTCTCTCGCTCTGTCCTTGACAACCTATTGCTCTTTGTCAATTTGATCACGAAAGTGTGTTCCAGCAGTGATACATCTGATATTTATTATCAGCACTGGGGGTTTCACCATATAGCTAATGAATGTCTATAACAGCTATCTATATCTATATCTATATCTATATCTCTATCTATAGCAAACCAACCAGAATCTGCTGTATTCATCCTAACGGCAAACTGACTGACTGTCAGGGCTAAGCATGTAGGTTACTGTAGACCAGATTCCAGCTGGGTTTGGAATCAACTTTGAAATTGCCTCGTCTGACCTAAGATATAAGCTCTCTACTTGCTATCTCCTGCAAGAAACTGCTATAACTAAACAATTCCCTCTGGGGTGAGGAATGAGGGCAAGCATGGCAAACGCCTGGTTGAAAAAAAACTGACAGCTAAATTATGCATTGTCACATATGGCAGGATAGCATCTTGGTCTAACTGAGGTTGAAATGGTTAATGATTGGCCTGGAGGGAGCCTGCATGACTGAATGCATGAGGACATAGGCTGTTTCTAAAGCAACAAATGGCAGTAATTTGGGCTTCATTGTTGTTTCAGGAAATGTTGTGTTCCATCGTTGTATTTTTTAATTGTTATATCTTGTGCATATTGTTCATAATGAGCTGTGACTAAATTAGCCTAAGGACTAACCTACTTCCCATCCATAGTCCCAAGCTATGAAAACCAAAGTTAGCCACACCCAATAATAACAAAAATAATAATAATTACACAAAGATTTTGCTGTGCTTTCAATGCATTTTAACACATCTTACCATAGATAGAATACAGTATAATACATTTAGATATAATTTCATCCCTTTTTTCTAGTTTATTTCTTACTAACTTTTCATGTGCGGTGTCACAGAAGTGCACTTGGGACCGATAATATACTGTATTTAGAGCAATGAACAAACAAAACCTAACAGTGGCAGTAAGCTGAAGATTTATCCATTCATCCACATTTATCCACATTTTGGTTTTGAAGACAAAATTTCTATTAATTTCTACAATGTCAAATTTGACAAAGAAAATATAGGCACCACTGCAATGCTAGTAGAGTAGATACAAGGGTGCAACATGTACTGAGGATAGTGGACTGTACTCAGCAATCCTATTGGGCTGATTGGTCAGCTGGCCGAACTGTCAGTCTGAACTCAGCCATTGTCAGGTTCCACAACACTGGTCATGGCCCGGCTCTAAAGCCCTGCCTTAATCATACACACAAAGGAAGCTTGTCAACGGCCTCTTGAAATGTTAATGAGACTGAAATCTTCCGCTATTGCTCTCTCTCTCTATCTTTCTCTCACTCTCCCGGAGAGAAGAGTAGCCGTAGCTCTACGTAGGCTCACCTAGTCTCTCGCAGGTGCTATCAAATGACAGCAGCTTACTGGGCTATAGTGACAGCTCTCTTGCCTGCCTGCTTGTCTTCCTGCTTCAACAGGTTGACTGACAGTATTACTGTGGGAGAGGATCAACATGACAATCCACACATGCAAATATGTAACATGAAACCCTAAATCTAAAGATCATTTACAACAACCAGCTGATATTTGAGTTGTAAGGCTGTACAATTCCTAATATAGTCCAATAATGCAGCATTAGTCTTAGTAACAGCTACAGATGGATGTTGAAGTCATTGTGAAAAGGAGATGAGAGGATTTTCAGCAGCATCCTGCTGCATGCATCAGTAATATTCAAATACTGACATTTCTGTTTCAAGTGTGATGGGTGTTTACATGTACAAACTGCGGATAAAACTTATTTCAGTCACATGCAGAGGGCAATTCCTGCAAACTGTAAAACAGCCTCTCAGGAAGCTGCTGCTACATTCAGCAAATTGATTGTTTGATTTCATCACCGAAGGCTGCAAGAGTTGATGTCTTGGCAGAGGGAGCTGGATGATAAGTGCTCAGTGCACAGGGACAAACTTAACTAATGCACGGCCAGCATTATGTTAACGCAGACAGTAAATCAGTCATGACCTCAGAGGGGAATTTAATCCTCAGTATGGTACAGACATCAGTGCTCAAATTTTGTTTAATGGAGCAAAAACACTGAATGTATGGTCTGTAAAAGAGCTTTGATGGCTGAGCAGCAGTAAGTACAGCAACTCAAATGTGTATGAAAATGCCCAAATACATTACCTTCACGATTGGGTGGCCACCAGATGCTGCTTTGACGGCTCCTCGGCTGCCCTCTGTCTCATAGTGCGCTCGGTGGTGGGCTTTGGGTTGCACCTCTATCTTCAATTCATATTGGCCAAACTGGCTTGGCAGCAGCCAATCTAAAGGAGGCAGTGAGGAGGTCCTGGGGAGAAAACACCACACACACACACACACACACACACACACACACACACACACACACACACACACACACACACACACACACACACACACAAGAAGAGTATATTAAAACTTTGCAATGAAACTATTATAAAATACAGTGTTCTGCAAAAGATTTGCTCAAAATTTCATTTGAAACAGAAATGTGTTTATGGTAATTATGACTATAAATATGAACAATCTGTCCTGAAGCTTCAGACTACGACAGCACAGAATCATATCAGTGATGAAGAAAGGACATTTTAACGGCCTTAACAGTAAGAAATTTCCTATGAAACTCTGTTTGGGTAGATACACCTTCATATTTTCCATATTTCAAATTCTTCTGTACAGATGTGTTAAAACTGTGACACCACAATGTAAGGTCAAGCAGGACAACAATCACTCTCTCTACTTCATGGCTGATGACAACAACCTGTCTTACCACTGTCTCAAAAGCATTCAAAAGCTGAAATGGTGGTATTCCCCTTTCATGGTCTTAGATAGTATAATAGGTGCAAAATGGGGGTATAATTCACTGTGTACATAGCCCCAGCAGACAATGAATCACTGGAATGTCCATATATATTATTCCTCTTCTTAGACATAGCACTTGTAATAGGTCAACTTAAGACTTTAAGGGTGAATCATATTCTAAGGGGGACTTTTCTTTGTGAGTCTTCTGTGTGGGTCAGTGATTGGGTGGTAAGATGAGTGTGTGTCAGACCCTGAGCAAATTACTGTGTGTGTGGGTGTGACTGTATACTGTACTAGTGTATATTTTATGTGTAGTGCACCACAGGGCCTTGCATTGTGCGTTTTTCCTCCCTGTCTCATTTAAAAAAAAAAAAAAATCTGGCTAGGCTACAATCATATTTGAACAGCTGCACTTGAAAATAAAACACTCAGTGGCCTTCTCCACAGAGAAACTGGGTCTCTCCATCTTACTGCATTAGATCAGTTTACCCCCAGAAAAACACTATAAACACTGGCATTAGCTGTTAGCATCAACCAAGCCGCAACCTATTCCAATAATATTATATATTTAATATTGTTGATTACAATTGATTTAATTATATTTATCATATTTAGGAACAATCCTCACAATTAACTAAAATGTTTTTCATTATAGTGAAATATACCTCATTAGGAATATAACTCAAACTATCACTATTTTTTTGTTTGTCATTATCTTCACATCTATGTCTCTTATTAGCTTCAAATGCTACCAAAAGAAATTTTCAGAACATTGCTCATCCATAGTTTGGTTTTGGTTGGCTTACAGTATATTATTAGTTTACTTAATATTTCCCCACACAAAAGTCTCCTTTTTTATTCTGCTCTGTAATATTTGTGCAGAACTCCAGTGCATATTGTATGTTTAACCTGACAAAGTACTTCACTTGTAGAACAAGCCACAATGTAAACCTTTGTAATGTCTTGATAGTGTACACAGTTAATTAATCATGATCCAAGAGGCCTACTGTAGGGCAGCACAAGCTATATCTGTGTCATCCAGGTGTTTTGTCTCACAGCAGTTGCAAAGTGCCATTGTTTTTTTAGCACGTCAGTATACACAATCATAAATTAAACTGTGTATGTATGTCTGTGTATCCATGCACACTCCCACTTTGTCCATGTTCATGTGTCTAAGTCTATTGCCCTGCATGTTAGGCCTGAGTAAGGAAACTGACTCTGTGCTGTCTCATGAGCTAAGAGGCAGACACTCTATGCTACACACTGATCTCTGCCTCAGCGTTAACCACTGTAAGCTCTTTGTGCACCCTGTCACATGGTGGCATAAGCTTTTATTTGGCTCTACTCAAGACACTACAGGCTCCTAGCATGCAAACGTACTGAGTCTAAACTCCATGACAGATATTTGACAGTACAAATAATTTTTAAGGGAAAGTTTGCTAAGTTTTTGCCAGTATGGCTGACTCCCCTAATTTTACCCTTTCCAAATGCCTGTCAAGTGCTGGCTACGTGTAAACCAATCTGATCAGACTGAATTAAACACATGTGAGTTAGGCTTTCACAGGAGCCATTAAACTTCATAAACTGCCAACAAACTGGCATTAAATCCAAAGGAGAAGCTGCATTTTGGAATGAAAAGGTATGTGTCTGATATTTTGTAGAAATTTTGTGCAGTTCATGGAAGCCTTGTGGTTTGAAATCTAACTGAGCTACATGTTGGAGATTCTCCTACCACATATGACATGGAAATGTCCCCTAAAACCACTTTAGGTCAAAACTTGTTACATAAACACTAACTTGCCAGGTTGAGAAAATCCCACATGATTACAGGCACATATACCACAAACAGCTGTTATGCACTTGTGTGTTTAGCTTTTTTCTTCTTATGATTTACCATATGGTTATTACTGTGGTGAGCAAGTGCCATGATGAACGTACAGTGTGCTATAATGTGCTATGTTGCAATGTCAAAATACTCAGTTCAGTCCTTTTCCGTTTGATGTTCAAATATGGTTTTCACCTGACAGAAGCTCTATCTAAGATCAAACGCTCTAACACAATGTAATAGAGGCATCACCCTTATGTTTTCCTCCCAGTAGGCATGACATAACCACCCAGGAAGTGTGGGTTTGCATGGCTGCTACGGTAACAGGAGTAGAGGAAGACAGAGGAAATATGATCTTTGTGATGGAGCACAGCAGGAGCGGCAGCCTATGTCCTGACATAGCATAACCTTTCTCAAATGTCTAAGCCATAGAGTAGGGGCTCAAAGTCCAGTCACATTCCCACAACCTAGTCTTCTCTAAAGTCTTCATCATTCCTCTAGCATCCTTTCTACCCAATGAATTAGGTAATTTTGCAGCTATACATTGTGTGAATGTGTGGGTCAGTCACATTTTAAGTCACAAAGAAATTACATTTTCTTGCAACATATCAGTAGTTTCATATTGAAAATCCATTCAAAGCCTTTACTGATTGCCTTATGGTGTACCAGTAGGCATACATACAACCTCCAACTATTAATACCATCAGTACCCCTGCTGCTTCATCAAATGAAACTGGATTTCTCATCGCACAAGTTATCCTACTTTTATTTAAATCCAGTGATATAGTGGTTACTTGCCAGATTATTTTTCTACTAACAAATTCTAGTCATGTGTCTGTTTACTCACTGGAGCTATACTAACTGCATTTACCAAATAATAATAATACTGCCCTTTTGTTCAAATAAAGCTTTTGGCAACCAACTCATACAAGTGCCATTTAATATCTCATTATACACAGCTCAGGGAATAGTGCATGAGCAGGCTCCTTGTAAAAACAAGCATCTGAACACCCACCCAATTTTTAATCCCACCCACTTTAACCCAATCCCACTGATTCCACCTGGACCATCTGTGCAAAACACCACTAACACACATATGACTGCATATAGACATCTTAACAATCATCTATCTCATGGCAGACAGGAACTCACCTGACCTGACTGTCTGCTGTGAAAATGGAAAGCTAGTTCTACCCTATATTTTATGCCATTGCTAGTGACTACTGGAGGCAGGTTGGGCAATAGCACATTAGCAAGGATCGCTATGAGGAAATACTTGTAGGGCACAATTACAGTAAACAGCATTGTTGCAAAAAGAAGTACCTGTTGTGTTTTTCATGATATAGCACTTAACTCTACAGCAATGTGGACATTTTTCTGTCACTGTCTTAGCTGTGGCTCTCTTCAGAAATTTCACTTACCAGGGCAAGGATGCAAAGATCAAATGGTGACTCATCAGAGCTGACCCTGTTATTGTCTGGAGAGTGTTAGGTCTATGTGAGCGAGCATTTGTGTTATGTCTATACATGTGTGTGCATGCATGTGTTTGCCCCCCTTGCCATATGTGCCCTGTGCTGATTTACAGCGCTAGGGGCCAGTGCACACAAACAAGGCCACGTCTTCATCTGCTGCACACATTGAAGAACCGACAGCAGACTCCTCTCCTAAAAAACTCCATTATGAGTTTCTGATTGCAACCATCACTCTTTAATGTGGAGTGAATGTGGATTGTGCCTGTGTGTTTGCACATGTATGTATGTTTGGAGGACTTGTGGGTGTGCGTCCCTGTGACTCCCTTCGCACACTAATAAACTTGTATTACGCCACGATGTAACTTAGTCAGATTTATACTGCTGATACAAAGCTCAAAATCCCCTATTACTGAACATTGATCTGCAGAGTTCCATCAACAGGTCTATTATTCATCTAAAATGTTATTTGATACTAAATTACTGCACTGCAATGTTTACGCTTCCCTCCTAGATCAAAAGGGGTTTTCAATCTTTATGACAGCTCACAACACTCAATAAAAACATTCACCACTGAGGTCTATTGTTTAGCCTTAGCCTACTAATTGCTTTTAAGACTGATGATACATGCTGTCTTGCCAAGTGGTGATTGCATTAATAATTCACAAAAATACTGATAATGCTGGCATCAGCATATCACCTTCTGTTTTTGCCTCTTAAGTTTAAAACACCTTCAAGCTTTAGGTTGTCATCCATCAAAGAGTCTATTCCTCGCAAATATTGGCAACACAACTGTCGCCAAGTCTTTCTCAAATACAAACAGGAAGTAGAATACAACAAAGTGACTGCAACAGAAAATTCTTTCAGCCAGTTGAGAAAACAGTCAACTCTGACATTTGAAAAGATTAAAGGCACTTCATCTCCCACTGAGTCTTCTACATCTGCATGAATCATTTGCTTTGGCTGGATTAGAACACTGCAAGATGGGGCTGAATTTGGAAAAGATTGTCCTCCACCTTTTTCTGCGTATTCTCCTCAACATCAGCGAATTTACCTGAATATAGGTGTATGACCGGGCTTGGGTTTATTCCATGAGAAGTGGGAGGGGACTGAGAGGAACTGTTCCCCAGGCCCATCCTTCTTCAGGCTGTGCATGGCCTCATCTGAGGGAGAGTCTAGATTAGGTGACATATTTCCTTGGTCATCTAGCCCTAGCTCCCCTTTCCCAGACTGCATAGCTGTTCTGTCCTGTGAGGTCTTCCTTGTCTTGGATGGGATGTCTGCCTCAGATGGGCAGCACTGGAAGGGCGACATGCCTACAGAGGGACTGCCAACCCAGGTGTCCTCCGTAACGCTGCCCCTAGGTGAAGGTCCTGGCGTGGGTGTGGGTGAGTGATGTGGAGACAATGAGCCGGGATAGCAGATGTCGGCGCTAGAGTGACGCCTCTTCCCACATGGTGACGTGGGACGTGAGGAAGGCCTGGAAGGTGGCCGAGGGCTAAGCCAATTTTCGTCAGTGACACTGGTGCGTGGCGAGTGGCAGGGGGACTGTCGTGGTGACAGGCTGACAGAGTGGGAGTGGTGCACAAAGGCGGGGTGGTGGTGCTGCCAATGGGGCTGCTCCTCCAGAACTCCACCACCAGTTTGAGGGGAGGCACAGCCTGGGGAAGTAAGGGGGGAGCCTAAGGTAAACCGGGCAGCTGCTTCATTCAACTCGGAGTCAACATCATCATAGACGTGTGAGAATGATTCACATGAGGAGGCATCAGAGAACCAGCTCCTAGAGGAGAGGCTGCTGCATGGGCTGGGGCTGAGTGAAGAGTCCCGGTATGAGTGGTCTAGCCGCAAATACAGGTGGTCTCTGGACAGGGGCCTGTCACCATGGTAGTCCCCATCAGGGCCATTGGCCCTCAGATCCTCCTCATTGGCATCCATCTCCTGCTGGCAGCTAGGGGAGATAGAGGTGATTTGGATACTGGGGCACTCAAAGGCCTTTGGTGCCTCCACAGGAGCAGAGGGCAGTAGAGGGGAGGTGCCATACTTGGAGTCTTGTGGCTCATAGCTTGGAGGCTCAGATCCTGGTTTCTGTGATTGAAGGCGTTGGGAAGTGTTGATGACCTGGGAGTGAGACTGCATGCCATGACGAGGCAAGCCAATAGACTGGTGATTAGTGACCATAGCCTGGGGCTGGCCCACATTTAGGATGTAGAATGATGTGTTGTCATCAGGCTCCAGATCTAGGAGAAGAAAAGGAGGGAAACATTAAGATACAGCAAACTGGAGAATATTTTTCTGTTATTTTTTTTTTTTTTTTCTCAATGTCTCTTAGTTCGACTTCACTGAATTAATGAAGAACAAAAACACTGTTGATGCAAAATCCTGATCAACAACACAAGCTTTTAAACTTCTTGATGAGATCAAGATTAAAACTGCAAGAGTGACCTTGGACAAAAGACTATACCATATGTATGGCAGCTCCACAAGACACATTGATGCAATCAGTTATGAGACTGCGCCTATGAGTGGCACATCTAGAGTTGTGTTTGTGCAGACCAAGCAAAAACACCAGTAAGCATACAACCAACACATCCATCATTTGTATCAAACCCATGCTTTATCCTTCCCATCAGTCAAAAAACAAATTCACAAATGCAACAGACAGTGAAAAAGGAATAATGACATTATTTTCACCTAAAATTGGCTTGTGCTGGTTCTTCAGTCCAGGACAATGAAACCATGATTATGAGGCAAAACTGCCAACCCCAAAGGCAACCAAGATACCGAAGAGATATTTTAGGTGTTGCCTCTTCTGAAGCAGTACAGAGACAAGTCTGGATTCTCCTCCTGACCTATTAAAATGTCTGTTACTTTTAAAAGGGATAAGAGGAAACTGAAACAACATTCTACTAGTAACGTATTCATCCTGCTTCTGCCTTTCTTTCAGCCAACACTGCACTACACCAGGACTACAATTGAGCCTCTGGTTGCCAAACTGCAAGAATTATTTGGTCACAAACCCATGTGCGGTTGCGCCCTGAGTTTGCACTTGCTACTGAGCCCATATTCAGGAAATTAGAGGCCAGAGTGTTGCTGGGTAGCAGGCAGTCATACAGGCATTGTTCCAAGAGGGATAACCGATGAACAGCACTACTCAGGAAACAAATTCACACAACGGTGCGTGCTGTCGGCTGTCATCACAGCTAGCGCTGGCAGGCTATTTATACCAAAGGTCATCCGGCACAGGCAGCATGTACACACACAAACACACACACCCACACACAAACAAACAGACAAAAGCCCCTTGTCTGCATTGGCACTACTCTATTAGAGGTTATTGATAAACTTCCACTGGATATGCTCTGCTGCTCCCATTGGGAATAAACCCCCCACCCAGCCCCTCTCAGTGTTTCAAATGTGAAAAGTTAATTTCACATGCAGAGCCACTTTCATGTTAGAACAGTAGGAGCTGATATTTTATTTTTCTATTAAAAATGTGTCCAAAAATATCTGCATTGTCAGTTTAGATTTCAGAATAACACAGGCCACAACTTAGAACTCATCATTTACTTTTGTACAGTACCATTCACCTAACCAAGCATAAATAAATTAAAAAAAATCAAAAACATCTCATATAATCTACTGTGAAACAAACATCGTGTAATACCATCCTTTCACTCTTGTCCTATCTTTGACCTTTTAAGATATGATAAAAACCATTTCTGCTTTACTGAGAAAGGAGAAGAAATTCAGAAAATTGCAAAATGACCAGGGCAAAAACATAAGCCAATAGGCGTTCATAAAACATGTAGTTTAGCTAAAACCACAGTGTAGCCAACACAGGATAAGGTTGTGAAATCATTACACAACACTTCTCTATATTCCTAAAATGTACAGTGGTGTCCAAAAGTCTGAGACCACTTTCTCTCCACTGTAACAGCATGCATAAAAATAAGAGACTGTTTTGTTACATTCTAAACAGGGTCAATATTTTTATAATATTTAGTAAAAATAGTTATATTAAGTATTTCAATTCACCACCACAACACTGAAGTCTTTACTTAACTTAACAGATAAATAGGCCATAACTTGGTAATAAGTCGATGTAAATTCCCATATTTGATTCTCTTATATTAAATGATAACCACATGCTAGTAATATGACAGCATTGTCAAATCAGACATTAAGGCTAGTCTTAAAGAAGTTTATAAAAAGTAAAAGGGTTTTGGGAATGGTGTGTGTAGCTACAATATGCTTCTACCCTCCCTCTCTATATCCAACAGCAGCAACAGAGGCAGTAGCGGAAAGCTCTTTATTTATAGCTGCTCGGCTTCGCACTGGCCCTGCCTGCTTGTCACAAGACCCAGCAGTGGATCCTCTGACGACAGCATCTGACTGACTGACAGGGAGCAAGAGAAGGACAACAGAGTCGAGAGGAAGAGAAAGAGGCTGTGAAGATTACAAAAAGCAAAGCATCCTCTCACTCACTGATGACCTGGGAGCTACAGTAACATGAAGAAAACAGAGGAAGAGAGGAGGCAAGAAAAAGTGAGAACGAAACAAGGGCAGGGCAGTAAAGACAGGCGTTCACACCTTAAGTGAGGAACACATACGCGAGCATTTTCAAAACATTGCCCACTTCTCATTAACTACACTGTACTGTGCACCACACCATGCTCACAGAAAACAGAAACATCACCTGTAATTTTATAGTGACATGCATTTCTTCCATTGTGGTTTTTGTTGTTTTTTCTGGATTGCAAAATGTTCTCTCTCTGAAAAAAACTCTATTTGGAGTAAAAATAAATCACAATTAAACAATTTGCCAGAGAAGAGGAGCAATTTACACACTCCATTAATTCTTCCTTCTAACAGCCCTTATCCTAGAGACAGATTTAGAGAAACGTGTTCAAAATATTTTGAATTACAGACAAAAAGGGAGTGAGGTGAGGGCAGAGACATAAATGCATTATAACAGTTATCATGTCTTAAAAGTCTATAGGTGGTTTAAAACACTTTGTCTACCGTTGAGTGGATGTTCACATCTTGTCCTCATTGAGATGCTTTTTTAAATGGCTGAGGCAGGCGAACCATCAATCCGCCACAGGATTTGACTTAATTAGCATGGTGAGGGGAAGGGAGATGCAGAATGGGAAGAAAAGAACAGTCGAGACAGCCTGCCTTCCTCTCCCCTCACTTGTCTGATGACTTGTTTTTGCACCATATATCTCAGGGGAGGACAGACATCAAAAGACAATATTCAGAGAGAGGCACAGCCAGGTGATCATGTTTGTACAATACTACCAGCAGAAACAGTTTATAAAGACAATATGAGTATTGTTAAACTTTTCTAAGGAGCCAGAATGGTGGAGCTTACCACATTTGATTCAAAACAACGAATGCCCAAATGCACATGAGGAGCAAAGAATCTAAAACATATTAATCAAACTCAGATTCCTAAGATACAAGTGGTCGCAGACTTTTGGACTCCACCATATATGACAATGTTGCTTCATTAAACATACTACTACTTTAAACATACAAGTTAAAAGTAAGTGGATATAGGGAGATTGAGCTGGTTGAGGAAGCACAAAGTGGCACAAAAAGTATCAGCATCAGCATGTGACAGAAGCCAATAACAGAGCCAATAACAACAGCATGTGGCAGGTAGAACCTGTAGGGATTAATGAGGAGTTTACAGGTTAAACAGTAGACTAGAAGGGCACTCAGAGTGCGCAGACCTCCGCCAAGGCCAGTGTCAAACAACATACACCAGACTTTAAGAGAAAAAAATTCAAATTCCTAGTAAATGATACAGATCTGCAGGTTTTTTTTCTGAATTTGGCAGTGTGCTTTTCTGGTTTTCTGCTTAGCTAAAAACGCAACCTGGTCAGCTAATTTTAGCTCTGCTGAATCACCCCAAAATAACATTCAATACAGATAATTTAGGGCAAGGCAGAGCAATCCCAGGTGTTGACTGAGTAATAAGCTGCTGCCATAGTAAATTGGGTGCTAATCACACACAAACTGAGAGCGCAAATTGAATGAAAGTCGCAGTGATATTTGCCCAGGGCTTTTATCTTAGCAAATCTGGCACTGTGTTTTTATTTTCCTCTTTATGTGTCGTTGTTTTGTTGTGTTAAGTTGGTTTATTAAGTGGATGTGGTCAATGAAAAACATTGCTCTTAAACAACAAGACTAAATAACAGTACACAGTTTGTAGTCCCAAACTGACACGATTTGGAGTAAATTTAAATTTCAAGCAGATCATCATGTCTTATGTGTTTTGTCTGAATTGATGCAATCTTCATTAGGGGGACACTAATCAAGTGGCTACCAATCAGACAATGGTCTATTTAGAACTTATTATTATATGAAGACAAAACAGAAGAAGAAAAGTGTCAATTACTGAATTAGGTATAGGCAGTGCAATGTGCAATAAAAAGCAGCAGTCACTAGAAGCTAATGTAGACAGGGTGACCCCTGGGTGTTGGCAGTTCATGTGTGACAGTGTGCTTTGAATTTTCACCTTGTGCACACAGATACTGTAATAACCTGTTTGCAAAGAAGGCACAACTTTTGCTGCTACGCTTAAAAAAAATCTTTTCAAGTGGTACCAGTGGCAATGGGTGACCAGCTCAGTCATCATGTATATAGTATTGTATAATTACTATGTGGATAACATTTATGACATTGACATATAGCTTATTATGCTCTGAGAGTCTTGGACTTTGTATTAGATGTCTGTGTTGGCCTGTTGATAGTAATAAGAGCAGTAACTTGTCTCTGGACTGTCTCTGTCAGTCTCCTCAGATAACAGATTAGAAATCCCTCAGCTGGGTTGTCCTACAGTGTCAGTGGTATAAGATTAATTTAACATACTCAAAGGTCAAATTGATATTTTTTTATTTGCCATAATGCTCTGTCTCTCTGTTACAAAACAGTTTCATGCTTATTTGATGAAGGTTTTAAAAAAAGTCATACGGTCTCCTTTCTACTTTTGTCGTACCAATCATGACACATGGAGGAGAGAGTGGTAGCGTTGCACCGATGAGGGTCAGACAGGGGACGACCATGTTACCTGGCCCACAGCCCTCTCCTCGCCCTGAGATAAGATTAGCCTGCTACCTAAAACCCTCCAGTGTGGGGAATAGGGTGGGTGGTGGGAAACCCCCCTGTCAGTGCCAAACAACAGTCACCTTAGGAAAGGAGGTCAGAGAGGAGAGGAGAAGAGAGGAGA